ATGCGATGCAGATCGATGAATCGGATGTGTATTAAAAAGGCGAATCCAATGAATACATTTTGCGGCCGGTACACAATGGTCGATCGCCACACTTATATACAAAGTTTACCCGGTCGACCTACTAATGTCGATCAGCAAAAAAAAAAAAAAGGAAAACCCAAGGATTGAAGAATATCCCGGATCAAGCAGTATGCATCAAAGAAGGTGTGACATGTGCGCATTTTATACCTCCTTAACGAGTGCGGATCACTTTTACCAATTTCGAAGGCATACGATGACATTGCAATGTTCAATGATAAAGCGCATGCCTGCACACTTATTATGTGATAATCACCCTGACTTGACCTCTTGTGTCTTGCAAATTAAACGACCAGTACTGTCTATATCCATTCAAATACTGAATCACTGCGAATCAACTGACTTGTTAATATTATATGATAAATAGTTTTTGAAAAAATATGCATTCAACTTTTTAGCTTTATAAAATTTGTTGTATTTGAGAAAACAAGCAAAACTACTTGTTGACGTCAACTAAATAATATTAGCGCAACCAAAAAATGGAAAAATTATTATTGGCGCCGTAATTCTAATGTAGAAACCAAATAGTACCTTATGTAATGTGTGATGTTGCTTATATTGAAGTAAATTTTCGAGATGTATCCCATGCAGGAAAATAAATAGTTTTTTTTATAAATGAACGATGTTCTAACTTCTAGGCGGTTGTTTCAAAAAAAAGTTGTTATTTTCTTAATTTTTTATTGGAAAGCAACCATAATAACTGTATAAAAGACATTATTTTCCAAATTTCAATATTACAATTGTTACACAGTAACAATTTTTAGTGTATATCAGTAAAAAAAGGAACATAGTCGTGATGCACCACGTAAAAAAAACATGAAAAATTTAGTATGTAAGCGCACCACGAGTAAATACAGATGGATGAAAAATTCCAAGATCTCCGTTAGATTCGTATTAGACCCGTATAAGCAGTGGCAAAGAAGTATTTTCTGCAAAAAGTCCAATAGCTTATTTACTGGCTTACATTGTCACTGTATGATTCACCACAGACTTGCATTTTTTACATTATATTTACTTTTTCACTAAGATCAAAAAAATCTTCCCAGAACTAAAGGACACGAAGCAACAGGTAGGTATCTAGTTTCGCTTATAGAGATCCCTCTAATATATATGAATATATAGGGTGACAGGTAGTTTGGATACACATCATCGTCATTATTCATGGTGTAATAAAAAAAAAACGAGTAGGACAAGGGCTTCTTATACTTCTCCCACTTCTTCTTCTTCTTCTTTGCATATGGTAACGAATAAGTAGATTATTATATGCAGAAATGATTCTTCGCATTTTTCCCACACACCGGAACAAGTGAGATGAAGATGAGGTCTTTGGCCCTTACATCGCTACTACATACGGGCTTCTCATATTTCACTTATGTGCCTTAACTACTACTAAGCGTACGCACACACTTTTTTCTCATCGATGATTTTGGACAACGTAAGCAGTAAGAAACTGGGAGAAAGAGAGAGAGACAGGAGAGTCTTGTGTGTGCGTACTTTTTCATGGACTTGCAAATTTCGGGTCATTTTTTTATGTATTCGTCTACGTAAATAAGGGATGAGGATATAGACTACATTAGCCTTACATAAAAAAATTTTTTTTTCATATCATGGGGAAGTAAGCTACGCGTATTGAGCAAAAAAATTTTGAATAGGACAGCTTAGTATTTTAAAACTTTTGTTGTTTAATTAAGGGCTCTGTCTCATCAAAAAATGTTTAAAAATGTGAACTTGTTTTAAGTAATCGCTAAATCTTCGATTAATGAGTGTGGGATTTTAAACCAAAAAAATATCAAGTTTCTTTTCAATCAGCAATGCTTTGAGCAATCGAGCATCAAGTGCGATCGCACTGCGCACACTTGCTGCCGATGATAAATCGACTATTTACTCACGCTCAACGTCAAAAAGCCAAGAGCAGTGAGAAAATTAGTATGCAACAAAAACATGGACAAATTAAAACTTCTAAGCTCTCTCTCTTTCTCTCTCGCGGGTTGCATCAGTGTCTGCTGCGCCGCGCATGGAAAGTCTCGATGCGTTCTATTGGCGCTTTAACGAAGGATGTAAAACATACACCCGCGGCGATCGCTAATTGCATCTATTAGCGCTTTATTGCCGTCAAATGTTTCGCGCGCGGAAGCTTGTAACATAGATTTACACAGGAGGAGAAAAGAGAATAAAAACGAGCAGATGAGAAAGAGAGGCCGCAGCTTGGGAAAATCTCTCTCGGGCGCGCGCGCGCGAGCGAGGCGAGGGGGAGAAGGGCGATTATCATTTTTTGGTCGATTTACGCATGGAGCATCGAACACCGGTATAATGATGAAGGCTGTGAGAACCAAGTTTACTTACCTCAAGCGCGTTTCTGGATATATTATTTGAATACGCACCTTTGAATTGAGTGAGTGGCGTGAATTTGTCCTTTTACTATAGAGCTTTGATTTTTAAACAAAGCAACTGTTTGAACATTTTGGGGCAGAAAAATAAGTTGCGATAATACATGTAGAGTTACGTAATCGAAAGATAATGCCAGCGATGAGTCCCCCTATTACAATTAATCATCAGGAATCTTAATTTGACATTAGTCATTTTTTACATACCATAATGAGAGGATTTAATTGTGCACTGGTCCGAATGCGTCAGTAAGCCTCTCCCCTACACGTTACAAAATAAATCGAAACAAAACAACATGATACTTTCAATAATCGTTCAAAATTTTAACCGTGATCGTATTTTTCTTCTTAAATTAGTAGTGGCTGAAAAAGTCGATGCTCGTTAAACATCCAACACGAAAAGATGCGTCGTCCATTCTCCCCCTCGGTCGAAAAATTTTCCAAGCTATTTAATCCACGAGCACGAGCCGCATGGGCAGCTATATACAGGCGAAGGCCAATTAAAATCTACTTTGAAATATAATCTCCAGGTAGTCCATAGTGCAAGCAAGTTATCGTGGAGTAGCTATCTTCTTATACACACACACACATGTATATGCCTCGTAAGGATCGGAAGGGGGAGGTTATATCGACTTGGCGTGTATGAGAGAACCGTTAAGGTCGTGTCGCGGACTTATAACGTAAAGAATAAGGCCTCACCTGACGACGACGACGCTCAGTTTATAATTATTCGGCGTCGCAAATATTATCTCATCACGATATTTTGCCCAACGATTTTCTATTAAAAGCTTGTTCTTTTGTCGATCGTTCGTTGAAAAATAACAGTGAACATTTTGAGATATCAAACGAAACCCGAGCCACAATTTTAAATACACGTATGATTTTTCAAAATAAATATAATTAAATTACTATAAATTAGTCAATATTAGTCAGCCTAGCTCACGAATAAGCTAAAAGCCGATTTCGAGTAGCTTACTCGTTGCGTAAAGTCGACCGACTCTCGATCACAACAGAAGAATGACAAACAACAATGTCTAACATGCGAACACGCGAGCACGTATTCATAAAATAAAATGCTAGATTCACAGGAAGCATTTGACACTCGAGGCGCTTCGACCATATAAAGCAGTGGCAACAACAATCGAACCTCGTCTAGGTGTTCACGGTATCTCGCGTAGCCGATCGCAGAACAACTCATTATATGCATCCTCGCTGCTTCACTGGCTTGTCGCGCGGTGCACTAGGTGTGTGGCATTCGCGCTTAAATACATACCTATGTATATGCACACGACGACGACGACGACGACGACGACGACGACGCGCAGCTTCTTCCCTCGCAGCGGCAGCGCCCGGAGCCTCATTGGCAGGTACACGTCGGCGTGTACAGGAATATCGCGTATTGGATTTTTGTCTTCGTCCTTTGGCCGAGGCTTATCGGCGAAAAAGACGAGATCTTCTTCGCGGTAATTAGCCGTGCGAGCTGCGTGTTCGACTCGCTGGTAAACACGTGCAAAAATAATGCGCCTCGCGTCTCGAGCACATATATATACGGCAAATATATATAATGCAGTGCCGTATGCGCGAGACACAGGTAAGCCACAAGTGTTGCAAAGAGATAAATCATAGCTTCTAATCTATCTTCCTTATCGGCCGTACATCTAACCAATCTATTTATCTCCTTCTCTGGCTCGTTGGAGCTATAATATATATAGGCTCACATCAGCACATGTATATATAGGCTCTCGAATCGTGCATGCACGTCTCTCTCTCTCTCTCTCTCTCTCGCGGCGCGGCCGTATAAAATCACACGACGCGCCGTAAGAGAGTGTGTATTTAATACTTACACACACACACACGCTGCACCACGTCGTGTCACCGTCGCTAGTCACGTCTTTTATACCAGCATATTATATACCTGCAGCACCTATGTATTTTGACGCGCGAGAGAGCACAGAGTCGCAAACACCAACACCGACACACACACACACACACTTACCAGCACCGTGTTATAAGGGAAAATTTTCATAATTAAGTGCCTTCGATTTGTCAGATCAGTCCTCGCTCATCTGAAATCATAAATCAGTCTGCGCGCCATAGCCGTTTTCTCGGGCTTTGATATCTCCATTGCGCGGGGCCTGGTGCACTATGCGCTATATGCTCAAGTGCACACTTCTCTCTCACGCGGGAGAAAGATTAGCACGCGGATGGCTTTATATAATTCAGACGCGACTGAATCGCGGGAGAGATAGATCGCGTATAGCAGTGGTAGTAGTGGTAGTAGTAGTAGTAGTAGTAGTAGTAGAAGCCCATGCCTTCTCGCGAGCCCCGGACTTTTTTTCGACCTGTCGTGAATCGCGGAGCTCGTGTACGTACTTATAAGCGCAGCGGCCTTTTTCGTTCCGGCAGCGAGGGGCGCGCAATTGCCAAATGAATTATTGCCCCCGAAGAGATCGGCACTTGCTTTACAAATATGCATGCATGCATGCAACACGCCTCGACGAAGGTGTAAGGTTGACATTCACTCGTGTAATTCCTCGATTACATTTTTAATGCAATGACTTTTATTTCAGTTACATGACTGTATCCCAGAATCTACTCAGATGGAGCGCAAATCATTTTCGGTTACACGGTGGTAATGTAATTTCAGATAGTTCTGCATATTCTCTTGGTAGTTCAATTGCCAGACCTTCCGTAAGGTCGAAATCTGCACGAAAAAAAGTATTCGGTAAAATGCTATTTTTATTTTTTAAATGAAATGTTTTAATACATACATGACGTTCCGAGATGTTTTTTGGTTCTGGCAAAACAATCCAGCTTGCGCTCTTTAGTATCTCGCCGCCTATAACCAATGGTGCCTTGTAGTGGTAGACAGCTTCCACTGGATTGCTAACGAACATGGCCAAATTCATTAGACTAAACCAAGTTTTATACGAGTTGTTCGACGAAGCCAAAGCGACTTTTAGGAAATACTTAGTCATTTTTTTGATGCCTTTATTCGAGCTTCCCTTATTCTGCAAACAAATCAATGAAATTTATACACTTTTTTCTAATGAAAATTGAAAAGTAAGTAAACTTACAGCGTTAACAAATGGTATGGCAAAGACCAATATCCCGTCGGGGTGAATCACGGCTTGTTCGACGCTATTGTATTTTCTATTGTAGTGAATCAGATGTACCTCAACGTCATAACTTTGATAACAATTTGGAAATTAAAAATTTTGTAATAACATTTTTCTATTTCAATAAATTTAATTGAATTACTCACGTTTTTCCTGCAAAATGACCACGATTGTAGTTATCTTGACACCAATAGAGGTCCATGTCACAGAACACAAATGACTCTCCCGGAAATAGATTACTTGAACCTATGATTCTAGGTTCTTTCGATTCCCGGTATTTCAAACAAGGCGTTACTAAAATCATAAAAATACAGACGTTGAAATTTTTTTGTCAAATGAAATTAATCACTTGATTAATAAATATATTACTTATGTAAATGTCATTCGTAATCGTAAATTTACGAACACGTTGTTCGTAATTTTTTAGAGTTATGACACCGGTTAGATTATTCTCCAAGTCAGGTGAGTCCAATCCAAACCTTGACTTCCATGTGGTAGCAAATCGTCTCCATGGAGAAAGTCCTTCTCCACTGGCTGTTATTACAAAATGTCAATAATTTTAAAAACCAGTTGCAAAAATAGTCGATTGATTATAGAAAATATACGCCTTACCTGCAGAGAATGAAAAAGAAGGTTCTTCAAAGAAGGATTCCTCACACTCAGTCGCCACTGGAGAAGCCCCATTGGATCCAGAAGGTCCTGCCACGGGCCCGCGAGCACCTTCTTTAGATGCAGAAGTCCCTGCGACAGGTTTAGAAGCGCCTCCTTGGGATTTGGAAGTCCCTGCGATGGGTGCGGCGGCGTCTTCGTCAAATTCAGAAGTCTCTGCGTAGAGTCCATAAAGGTCTAGGTAAGATTTGAAAGTAGCCTTCATAGTTGTCGAAATTTAGATAAAAAGGCTATGGAAAAACTTTGGTAAGGGGGACTAATAAGGGAGACTAATAAAAAAAAAAAAAAAAAAAACAATTAGTTATGAAATTAAATTAATGGAAAATTTTTAAGTAAGTTAATTAAATATCTTCTAAATTACCTAGATATTGACGATAGTTGGCTAGAAGCACAACTGGGAAGAGTGATAGGCGGTTATAACACAGCAGGCCCAAGACATGATCAAATACGTTAGTAGTAGGGATTGCGAAGTGCCGACCATTGTTTACATCATTCAAAATTTGAAATATTTTCTTTTTGCTTTATTTTCTCTGTAACGATGAAACATGAAGTACCCAGTATTTTTAAAGTACGTTCACTTTTTGATTAAATTTGCTAATTTTTTTTTATGATCTTGTCAATGTTAAATATGCTATAACTGTATTAATGAAACACATTTTAGGTTTTCCATCGATTATTTAAAATACTGTAACCGTTTCCTTCGACGCTCCTCATAATATTTACAATCGATTTGCTCAACGGATGAAATGTGCTCGCTGGAAGCAATGACGAGGTGAAAAATTGAAATCGGAACAATCGACGTTAATTTCAAATAAATTCCTCGATTCTTGACCATTCATCTAATCGGAGCAATCATCAATCGGTTGAAAAAAAAGTCTTAATAGCCGATACGGCATAATCATGAAAACGCCGCAAGTTATTACATGGATGACTCGGACACGATCCGGCAAATATTCTCGTCGCGTTGTTCATTCGGAAAATCAATCCGTCTTACGACTTTATCGCGCGGCGAGAAGCGCGAAAAAGTCTCGTGGAAACAAGCGTCAGAATCAGCCGTCTCCGATGTTTAAACTAACGAACGTGTATCATTCCTCGTTTACACACGTACGATAGTACCCAATTCTGTCCTTTTTTTTACCAAGCTACGGAGCTTTTCGCCTCGCACGTGTACTTGCAATATCACAAGTTACAAGCGGCGGACGATTAGGAAAACGGCACGGCGTATGGCTCGCTTCCTACTTACAGCTCTCTCGCGGGCGCGCGCATAGCATATGTATACACAAACGCACGTAGTACAGAGAGAGAGAGACGTGATTCGAGAAATGAGTGTTCCAGCGTGATAAGTGCAAATACCTAACTCGAGCCAAGAAAGACGCAGATAAAGACGCTATCATCTCGCCATAATACGTTGCGGTAGACACAAATACCCACATGCAGCACATAGCACATAGAGAGAAATGGTCGACGGCCATACGTCGTGCGGCGCGTGTCCAAGCCACATGTGCACGAGCACTGCTCGGCTATGTTTGCCTGCCATCACCCTTTCCTGCTTCAAGCTGCTATATAGTACGGCTCGTCTCTTCGCCGTAGTTGCTTTGTAAGGATGTGTATATATGTTGGACCGCCTCGTGCAGCGTGTAGGTAACGGATTGCCTGGTTTAACGTTAAACGAGAAAATATGTCTTGTACGTGGCGCTTTTTGCCGGCGTGATTCTCCGTTTTGTCACTATTTCGTGATTGCTCCGATACGATTTGCGAAAAATAAAGCAGCGCGACCAAACTCAATAAAATTACTTACCTGTCCGATGTATTATGAAGAATCGTCGAGAAAAAAATCGATGATCCTGAGAATATTGAATCTCGACGCTTCTTTCCCATGATTGCGCCGCTTTCAATAATACTCCTCCTAAAGCGTATACACGTTATTCGGTAAACACGAATAAGTAGAACACGCCCGCGCGCGAGGCGAGCATCTAAGCAGTATAGCCCCGCGCGCGAGTTTTAAGGGCATTGTACCAGGATTCAGAAGAATGGCATGCTAAGCGCACCGATGTATATATTATTAGACGTCATTAAACGCAATGGCAGGTCGATCTGTGTGGTAGCGGTGTATACATGCATAGCCACAATATGTAGCGATTTTGAATGATATTTCTTTGAAAACATTAGACGAGAGTTCAGTCGAATGAAAACATTTCGGATTTCCCCATGCATAAATTTTTTCATATAATCCAATAAAAAAAATAACGAGTCCTCGAGTGCCTCGTGCTACTACTGTTACTATGCGTAACGCGAGCGCAGCAGCTCGATCATCGCCGAGAGAGAAAGACTTTCGGTCGTCACGGTCGATGAATCAAATTATATTATAACGTCGAGCAGCAGCAGCAGCAGCAGCAGCGGCAGCGATCGATAATAATTACGTTTAATAATAACCGAAGTCCGCATCGATGAAAGAGAAACATCGTGTGTCCTCTCGCTGTCCCGCTGTTTGCGCGCGCGAGTTTGTATACATATACGCTACGCGTGTACGATACTCGTACACACACATATACACGCGCGCCCGAGCAATAACAATCATCCTTTTTCATCCACATATATACCCTGACCCACTGGGTGAATTAATATTTTCATCGCGCAACGAGAGCTATCATTAAAGAAAGTACACACACATTTTTCAATGCTCGCGAGCCGAGCCGTGTGTCCCTTTTCCCGCACACCGCTTAATTCTACATGCCCGCGTACATATATATACACACGCCGCAATCCTATTTTGCATTTACGAATAATGAAATTCAGCATCGCGAATCGACGTGATTTGTAATTTGCATCGATCTCGACTGCGGAAAACCTTCTTCGGTTTTATTTTTATTTCGATTTTCGAGATCATCCACGCCCCTAGAAAGCCCGTATTAACGTTCTTTATCGCCTTAAGAGCTTTTGTACGTACATGTGTGCCCGCGCGCGCATACGCAACGTGGGAGGAGGATCGTATTTAAAAAAAACAAGCGCTGCTCGCTGCACTGCTGCTGCTCACCGTTATGATCGTTGCGCCGAATTGACAAAAAATGAAGTAAGACTCTGGGCGTACTTGGGCGCGTATATTTTCGGTTAATAATTAAAAGCTAATTATAAGTATCTTTCTGGCTCTGTGTGTCTTTCTCCATATAAGCGCCACGGCGCTGAGATATTATCTCGGAACGATAAATTCTTTATGATTTCTCAAAAATATTTATCATTATTTTCAGGTCACGTAGTCCTGCTCCGGCTTCGAGGTGAAAATCCAGCAAAAAAGCCAAAGGAGAAGCTGAGAGAAGAGAAAGAGAGAGACAGACGGAGAGAAGGAGGAAGGGAAAAATAAAAAGGATTATCTTGTACATAATATCTGTCCACGTGCAGTCGAGTGCGCACACACAGGAGCCAGGAGCTGCTGCTGCTGCTGCTGCAGCGCACCAAGCAGCTGCATTCCCATGGAAAAATGGTCCGATTCTCACTTGGCCGTGCAGTGTGCTGCAGATCGCTCGCGTCGCACGATTACCGCAATATAAATTTGAAACGGCAGCAGCAGCAGCAGCAGCAGACGACGATGAAAAAAAGGAGCAACGCAACATCGCGTGAGAATAACATCGCCCAAAACAGTTCGAAAATCATCGATTGCAAAAGTGGAGCTGTCGTGTTTTTTTGTTCTCGCTCGCTTGCTTCTGCACAAGCCGATGCTCACAGCCCGAGTCAAATTCTTTAGCGCGATACACATACGCGCACACATCGATGATGTTGGCCCAATTAGCATACACATGCAGGCGTATCGTGTATGTGTGCTAAAATACACCTGCTGATCCGGAGGAGAGCTGCGCGATCGCCGAGAGAGGCAGGTGTGTGCACCTGTTTGCTCCGACGAGAGACGGTGTGATACTCGCACACACGAGCACACACACACACACACACACACACACACACACACACACACGCAGCATAAGAGTACATAACTTCCGCCCATGCGATGCGAGCCGAGGAGCGAGAGAGAGAATATAGTCTGCGCTCGAAGGACGAAAACTGAGGTTCTCGGTTGCGATGGGAACGGACGAGCCCAACAGGTGCACGCGTGCTGCGCCGCGCGGATAATAATAATGAGTCTCACTTGTGATTTCACCTGATGTCGACTGTCCGCGGCGGATTTTATGCTTTATTTTTTTTTTACTCTCTGCTATACATGCATTTATTGTATACGATGCCCCATTCAATTTATGCATAATTAAAAGGATATACGATAATTGGAGAAAGATCGAGAGAAAGAGAAGATACAAACTTGTAATATTTCTGATTGAGGTAGTGCAGGAATGTCGCCCGGCACCTTGCTCAATATTTAGACGATAATAATAATAAAATCGCCGGCTGGAAGATTTTTCGGATCATACCTTGAAACAGGTCGAAAATATTTGTCCACATTCATTCGCAATGACCCGATACGGACGCGGAAAAATGGCCCCGGTGCGTACACGAAACACGTGAAGCATGTTTAAACTGAGAAAAATTAGTCTCTTGCACCGATTTAATTACCTTCATTTTTTTCTCCCTCGATCAAGTGCACGCGAATATTACGGAGAGAGAAAAAAAAGAGATGTCGTATCACGATTCGCAGTACGCTGCGTTATCGCGATCGAACGATATTTTTATATACGTACGCACGTGTGTAATCAGTTATTTATCAAATGTGTATCTGATTCTTTTTAAAAGAGCGTTTTTCTTGGTCCGAAGCAAATACAGATTCTTGACGCTTCTTATAAGAGTAAAAAAAAAAAAAAAAGAAGCTGCGAAGAAGAATTACTAGTCCGATATGCGGTGATTTTTCCAAAGTTAAGCGGCTGTGAAACAGTCAATAAGACATAGGATTACTGTCACTCGCTGCATGCGCGTGCGCGCGCCAGGAACCTGCAGCTCGTTTAATTAATTTTAAGCCTCGTTTGTTGGGTAAGCTACATGCACGAAAAGGCTTATCACACATTTTTCAAGTATTAATATTCGCAAAATTTCTTGTATATAAGATCGGATAAACTGATTCCTCGAAACTTGCCGATTTTTCGCTCTTCTTTTTTTTTTTTTTTACTTTACTCTTACGCGCGGCTCATTAAAGCATTAGCAGTGGTTGCGCGCGCGTGTACCCACGTACACCGCTGAATGATTTCTGACTCGTAGATCCTGTAATACGATTTTGGCTTTATGTTTTCGCTTACATTAATGAGCCTTGACAACAGGTGTTTCTTTTTTTCTGTCTCAGGCTCTCGCGCTCCAAAAAAAGAAACGGGCATCGTATAAATAATCCGAATGCTCCTTCTTGAAACAAATTGTTTAATTTTCATATTGCGCGGTGCACATAACATTTACGCTCCGACGAAAAAAAAAAAGAGAAGAAGTACGTCGAGTGGCGGGCGAATCTCGGATACATCTACCCGCGAATGGAAAGTTTTTTTCACAT